ATAACATTATTATGATTTTATCATGATAAGTTAATAAAATCATAATAACGTTATTAGGTTCCGATCCTAATACCGATATTGGTGGGAATGCTTATTATTATTAACTTATCATAATAGTTTTTTATTACGTGCAAAACTATAGGTGTGTGCGGAAAAGTAAAAATAACATTCGGAAAGTTTGAAGAGATTTTAATCAAAATAAGGGGTACCTCCCATACAAAATATTCAATTTTTGGCTCAAAAACGAATATTTTGTATGGGAGGTACTCTTAATTTTGGTTGAAATTTCTCCAAACCCTCCGAATGTTGTTTTATTAGAAAATAGAATACTTTCAAATGTCATATACGAGTATATGAGTTCATCATAAAAGTGTGAAAAATCTTTTGCGAGTACTTCTGCTATTAAATTAAAGAATATTTCGATGCCAAGGTTTGAACGTATGTTTTGGTCCCGAACTTTATGCCACTTGAAAGGCTTGAAAAATCGAAAAAATATTATTTTGAACTTGCTTAATAAAATACGCAACTACATCCCTGAAAATTAGTGAATAATTTTTTCATTCATTTAATTTGTCAATACAATATTTTCTAATGGAAAATAATTTTGTATAATATTCATCTAACATACTTTTGTTATCATGACGTTATTATGACATACGACTTTATTTGATATAGAAACAATATTCGAATCTTGTAGAATATTCGAATTTGACTCGAATTAGTGAAATTTTCAAAATAATTTTGCTCAATGGATCTTTCTAGATATACAGAATATGGAAGCCTCTTGGTGAACTTACTTCTAATCTGTTTATGTGGTACTTTCGAAATAACAACAACAACAACAATCATTTATAGACCGATAGTACCTTTCGGCGCGTGGTAGTTTCGGTTTGAATAAAAAATACATATTTTGAATGGTCAATTACTTTATTGTATTTAATATTGAAAGTAACACATTTAAGATATTTTCAAATAAAGTGATCGTCTCATGACGATATCCTGGTTTTTTTGAAGGAGTTACTTTTTGGTGGTGATCTAACTACGCCAGTCCTCATCCAACACATAGCTGTATGCATATCGACGCAAGCTTTTTCGATCAGCACTCGTTTATTTCTCTCCCTATAATAACATGAACATGTTTCTGGTTAAAAATGTGTGAAATCAAAAAAGAACATTGCCTTACCCATTTTCATGCATTTCATGTAAAAGTTCGGCTATCGCATGGAATTCTTTCATATGCCTAAAATTAATTTGTAATTGAGAATTAATGAAATCTTTTAGATTTTATTTTGATTGAAATAAAGTTTTGTATAACATTATAAACATACTTTTTTAAATAACTTTTAGTATACAAACGCTTCTCGTATTCCTTATTAAACTCATTTATTGCTGCATTTATTGTTTCCAAAGTAGAAGAAACAGCGCTGTAAAATAACAAAGTTAGAACAAATAGTTATAGAGTTAAAATAAAAGAAAATACAATTCATCCTTTTGAGTACAATTAATAGATTGAATTCTAATGACAATGTCTGCGTAATTGCCTTCCATTCCACAGCATCTAGAATTTGATAGAAAATTTCAATATTTGAATAAAATTATGAAATGCTTATATTTATCGTTTATACTTTTGCATCCATTCAGCGGCAAAGGTATTATTAAATAAATGGTTAACATTTTCCAAGTTCCGCTGCACTTCAACCTTTTCAATCAATTCACCACTTAAATAAGGTGGCAGCATTGCTGATACATGTTCATTAACTATTTCATTTTCGGATTTGCCTTTGGTACCTAAAAGTCGACAATTAGTAATAAAATTCATGGAACATTTTAAATACTATTAGTATTTACGTCCAGCTTGTGCCAAGTCCTGATATTCCGAGAAGAAAAACAATACAATTACAGATGAAATTAGATGAAAAACAATTCGAAAGAAGAGACAAAAACTCACCATTGCCAATATTACAATGCCCAAAATAATGAATAATCTCATTTTTTTTTTATTGAACTTAAATTTTGCTTTAAAACTACTAAAGCGTTGTTTTGAAACTACTAAATATTTTCAAATGGATCCGTAATTTATACACGCGTATTTGCCATCTGGCAAAATGCAAAACATATGGAAAACTTTGTGGAATTCGTCATACGACATACAGAATTTATTTATTTTATTTATTTATTTATTCACCATCTGATCACAGACTGAATTTATCACAAAATTTGTACAATATTTTTCACAATGATACACCACCCGATCGTATACCCAGCTACCAGCCTTCTCGACTTCGGAGCAGCAGATATCGACTGTGTTCACTGTTTTAATTTCTATATAATACATAAAAGTTAAAATTTAAAAGTTAAATTTTCACCGATCAAATATCACATTTTCCAATTTGTGTCTTGATACCGATTCTAAAAAGGCTAAAATAAATGTGATACTCTCTCTATAAAAAAATCCTCTATTTATTATAATTTGGTACGCTATTTAATAAATATGATTCTCTTTTAATATAAAATTTTGATCCTCTTTTGGTTAAAAAACTGCCGCTAATACAAAAATATCAGTTTAGAGTATCAAATTTAGTAAGAATTGAGGATTGTATTCAAAAAAGAGAGTAAACAATTCTAATAAATAGATGACCATATTTATATAAGAGAGGTCCAACTTGCTCAAAAGGGAGTATATTTATTATAAACAAGAGTGCAGAATATGAGAATTTAAAGTTCCAATTTTAAAAAATGGTGTATCGATTTAAAAAAATAAATGTAAGAATCACATATCGAATCGTCAATATATATATATCGTCAGCTGGCTCAAAAAGAGAAACAAAGAAACACAAAAAATTATCTATTTTTCAAAAATTTAAATGTATAAGAAGACATTCGATTTATTCTGAAACAAATTACTGCGTCAATAATGCTTTTTTTGCCTGTGCTGGCTTCCCTCTCTTTGGTTTTTCACCAATGAGTGTTGGAATTGCAGACCTTGGTAATTTACAAATTTTGTTCCTTATAGCTAAGCCCATAACATGTTTACACATAAATTTTTTCAAAAAATGTGGACAGTCACATGATGATAGAACTTGCCACTGTGTTACTGATATGCTGACCGTCCAATAAAAACCGCTGGCCTCTATAAATTGATCGAAATCTCTGAAGTTCGTTTTTTGCAAACTTACTACACTGTCTTCAGTCAATTTCCAATCTTGACCTATGGCCTTTGATGAGGGCACATAAAACATATTTTCTGTGTCAGTGTTAATATGCTGGCGCTTTGTATCGTTGGCCCAAATGGCTGAATCTCGCCAGTCACTTATAGAAACTATGGGTTGTTGTTGTATTATTCTTTCGTCTTTTTTGTATTCAACAGATAGACTGCTTGTCATTTCAAATATAGTTTGACAAAATTGCCCAAAGGGCAGTCTTTCTCTAAAAGTGATTGTTCGTTTGATAACCCCATTGTAACCTTCAAGGTTGTTGTTTGTACTCGGCGTATAAATGGCCGCTGCTTCGTACCAGTTACAATGGGATAGCAGCCACGTATTTTCGAAATACTGAGTAAAATCTCTTTCGCGCTTCTTCCATTTCTTTATGAATAATTTGGCCAGCGTTTCAAATGTATCACTTGAATTAGATAGATGCATTTGCTTGATATCATTCAAAATTAGTTTTCTATTCTCATTGTTTTTCAACACACGCTTTTTTACATTCCGTAGTACAGTAGTTTTACAAAGGGTGAAATTTTTTTGCCCTATCAACAGTTCCAATTATTAAATACGGGAAACCCTGTCAGTTTAATTTATACGTAGCATCCACACAAATTTGTTTTTGGCCAATGAAATTTGAAAGCATTCGAGATGTAGACACGGCAAAACGGAAGTACATGTCATTAGCCTCATCGCTAGTTTCAAAATCTAGAACGAATGGCTCATCCGCATCTGCGGGAATTTTGTTGTTATCAGCACACCAGGCTATCAGTTCACCGATCGAGACGATTGAGGGTGCTGCTTTCACTTTATGCGTGCGCACAATGTAGTATATTTGTTGCACCGTTGGAACTTTTTCTCCTTCAAAAAGTGAGAATTTTTGTTGCAGTTCATTCAAATGTGCTACAATATTTTTAGCCATCATTCGCTTTTTCAAACAGTCAATGATTAAATCGATCATTTCCAATGAAAACTTATGGCTCTTATCATCTTCATTTAAATCTTCATGACTATGTGGATTGCCGTTGTTTTGTATAATAAATATATCCTTCTGATAACTTGGTTCATATATTATACGTTCTGATGCACACTGCTTTATCGCTCGTCTCTTCGCTGCACTACAACTAAATTCCATTGCCCTTCCAAGAAATCACGAGCCTCTTTCATTGTTGAATAATGCAATAGATTTTGATGAACATCGATATTATTATCTAAAATCCAAATAAATTTGTTTATTGTAAACAAAAAAATATTGACAAAATTTTACACGTATTAGGGAATGTATATATGCTTACCACTTTTTTCCAAAGTAAAAGAATCAAACATTGAATTCTAAAAATGTTTCTCTTATCAAGTTAAAGTTTCTACAAGCTAATAATAATCCGATGAAAATGCCCTAACTCTAATCAGTTCTGTACTTCTTAAATTTCTTTGGTTTTCGTCATATTTCTAAGTGAACTAGACACTTTTTTACCCAAAAGGAGATCATAAATTAAAATACAGAGGCATTTATACGCCGTCTCCAAAGCGGTTGAATATTTAAAACATCACATCTAAATTGATACGGTGGTAGCACAAAATTTTCATCTCTTTGGTAAATAAATCTCAATGTCCATATCACAAAATCTTTCTGAATTGATTCTATTCTATCTGAATGGATACGGTGATATGGTTGCCATACAATACTCGTATACTCTAATTTTGATCTGACTAGTGCACAATATAATATTTTAGCAGATTCAATTGTAAACTTATTCTTTAATGTGCGTTTGATGAAACCCATTGCCCCATGTGCACTGGCTGTAATCGTGTCGATGTGATTGACAAATGTAAGCTTGGTGTCAAATACAACTCCCAGATCCTTGTGTAAGTTGATCCGTTCATGTTGGCCATTGTTGATCGCATATTCATAATCATAGTTGACTATATTTCCGCTTTTTGAGTATGCCATAACGAAACATTTCTTCAAGTTCAAATACAGGCTTTTTTCAGTACACCATTCGAATTTACACCATACACGAATAAAAATAACTTTGAAACTGTGCATAGATAAGCGGATACACTACACAGCATCGCTGATGAGAAATTAAAGTTTCGTTCAAAGTACAATTTTATCATCTATGTCAATCTATGTCAAATCTTTTCTGACTTTTCCCAGTTTTAAACTTTGACATTTTGAACATTTTGAATGAAATGTTTTGGCCTTGAAAACCAACCACCATGAGTCCCTGTATAACATAGGCTAGTAAAAAGTCGCACAATAATGCGCCATCTGTTGACGTGGTTATTAATGTATGTAATTACAAAGACGGAATTGTTGGATGGTGTCTTAACTAAATGTTCATATCGCTTGTTTTCAACCACAACTCGCACA